CTAGACTGAGAAGTCATAGATATTTAAAAGACATTTAGGTAAGCACATGAATAAGAAATGTTTGGATAGATACAGGCCAAGCACAGGCAAGGGACTAGTTTAGTTTGGGATTATGTTCGGCATGGACTGCTTGGAGCGAAGGCTCTGTTTCCATGCTGTATGACTCTATGACTCTACAGCTTTAAGCTAAGGGGTGATAGATTTCAAACAGATGAGGAGGTATTACTTCTGTCAAAGGATCATGAATCTGTGAAATTCACTACACCAGAGTGCATTGGACCCAAGGACACTGAATACATTTAAAGGAGGAGATAGACAGATTTGTAATTTATAAAGGATTTAAGGGTTATGGGGAGTGGGCAGGAAAAAAGAGGGTAACACCGAGTGAGATCAGCTCTAATTCTATTAAAGGGTGGGACTTGAGGGGCTGAATTGAGTACTCCTGCTCGCAGTTCTTATGTTCTTGCAGACTTTAATTATTTATTCTCTTTGAATAGGATGGTGAAAATATAAGCAAGTAGCTCCTGTTAAAGGGAATGACAACTGTTAAAATTCAACAGTGTGGGCCTCATTCCAATTGCGTCTTAACAATAACACCTTCAATATATTATTGAATTGGTGAAAATTCAAACCAAAATTGCATTGTCAGTCAGATGATTCCTGATCCTGTGAAACAGCACAGTTGAATTATTGTAAACTGTTGCCAATGTAAACCAAAGAAAATGTGATGCAATAAAAAAGACAAAGGAATCCCTAACTTAAAGTGGGGACATTACCAGATGTCTTAAAGAAAGGCTGGCTTAATTGAACTGATTTTATTAAATGAAGAGTGAAGTCAGAGAAATATTATACAGTTTTCAGAGATCATAGAAGTCCTGTAGTAACCTAGTAGGCCATATTTAAAGTGATAAAAATATAAGAAATTGGAGCAGGAATAGATAATTTGTCCATTTAAGCTGCCTCTATCATTCACTGAAATCATAGCTGATTTTCAATTTCAACTCCACCTTCCTGGACTATGCCCATCTCCCTGGTTCCCTGTCATGCTGTAAACATGCTGCCATAATGAGCCTTGGAAATAACCTTTTTATTATTTACTATGGTATAGATTCATTTATTCATCTGATTTGTTGTGGCTTAACAAGGTTAGATCACATGGAACACGGGGAGAACTAGCCATTTGGATACAGATCTGGCTTGAAGGTAGGAGACAGAGGGTGGTGGTGAGGGTTACTTTTCAGACTGGTGGTCTGTGACGACCAATGTGCCTGAAGGATCGGAGCTTTTTGTCATTTATATAAATGATTTGGATGTGAATATAGGAGGTATAATTAGGAAGTTTGCAGGTGACACCAAAATTGATGGTGTAGTGGACAATGAAGAAGTTTAGCTCAGAGTACAATGGGACCTTGATCAGATCGGCTGATGGGCCGAAGAGTGGCAGATGGAGTTTAATTTAGATAAATGTGAAGTGTTGCATTTCGGAAAGACAAATCAAGGCATGACTTATACACTTAATGGTAAGGTCCTGGGGAATATTGCTGAACAAAGAGATCTTGGAGTGCAGGTTCATAGTTCCCTGAAAATGGAGTCACCGTTAGACAGAATAGTGAAGAAGGTGTTTGGTATGCTTGCCTTTATTATTCAGTGCACTGAGCATAAGATTGGGAATAAAATGTTCAATTCTGGTTTCCCTGCTATAGAAAGAATGTTGTGAAACTTGAAAGAGTTCAGAAAAGAATTACAAGGATGTTGCCAGGGTTGGAAGATTTGAGATATACGGAGAAGCTAAATAGGCTGGGGATATTTTCTCTGGAGTGTCAGAGGCTGAGGGATGACCTTATAGAGACTTATAAAATCATGACAGGCATGGATAGGGTGAATAGCCAAGGTGTTTTTCCTTGGGTAGGGGAGTCTAAAACTAGAGGGCATAGGTTTAAGGTGAGAGAGGAAAGATTTAAAAGGGATCTAAGGGGCACTGTTTTGGTGCAGATGGTGGTGTGTGTACGGAATGAGCTGCCAGGGGAAGTGGTGGAGGCTGGTAGAATTACAACATTTAAAAGGCATCTGGATGAGTACATGAATAGGAAGGGATCAGAGGGATATGGGCCAAATGCTTGCAAATGGGACTAGATTAATTTAGGAAATCTGGTTGGCATGGATGAGTTGGATTGATGAGTCTGTTTCCATGCCGTACATCTCTATGATTCTATGGGTGTTTTGTTTTTTCAAAGGTCTCTAGCTTAATCATTTTTTTTCAGTACTACTTGTAGTCACGGTTCAAATGCCCTGTTGTTCTTTGCAAAGCTGCCTTTCTCTTCCTGTTCCATAATTATTTTTTCCATTATTTTTATCCAAATTGCAACTCAGTTCTATATCCTTGACATGGCTCTTACTGCTCTTGAATTTATAGTTAGCTAAATCTGCCCTGTTCTCTCAAGTCTCTTTGGCCTGGACAGCTTCCACCATGTTCTCATGCCTTTGCAAATCCTGCTGTGTGCTTGGGCCTTGTGACCCACATCTATTGTGTTCTCAGGTCTCTGTTGCTCTATCTGTGTCTCAGGCCTCTACTGCTCTTACTGTGCTCGCCTCCACAGCTCCTTTGAATTCCATGAAGGTAACAATAACAGTTTCCTTTGATGAAGAATAAGCAGGGGCACAGATTTAAGATGACTGGCAAAAAAACAGTGATGACATGAGGGAAATGTCTTGATACAATGAGTGGTTAAAAGTTACAATGCAATTATTCATGTAGTTCTGCACACAGCTTGAATAAGAGTCCTCAAAAGTGACGTTTTTCATTGGAGGAATGTTGAAAAAAGTAGGTGAATGCATGACACTATTTTGATCCTGAGACTATTTAGATCTGTCTTTGAAAGTGACTGTGCAAACTTGAGATGAGCGACTTCCTTCTGTAGTATAATTCTATGACTTTTGAAGGAAGTGATAATTGAAAATTGTAATGTTTGAGGCTCATCTACTCTTGCAAGCACACATGAACATTTTGTAATTTTCACCTCTTTGAATGTCTTATTACTCCAGTCGTGTTTTTTTTACTGAGCTTTTTACCTCAGCTGCAATGCTTTTTTTATCCCCCAGATCTCTGGTTTAGATCCCAATATTGTGCAATGGTGTTAAACACCGAATATGAGTCAGCAGCTCACGGTATAATTTAGTAAAAATATATAAAAAAGAGAGTGTGTTGATTTGCTCACACCCATTTTAGGATATTGAACAAGTGAAGATATGACTTTGTGATTAACATACTTTTACATTTTTAAGACCCTCCTCTTTTCTCTATATGTCATTTCTAAAAGTTATTTTTCTCTTTTAAGTTGTTTAGCACACACATTGGATCAAGTTTTGTTTAATCTTGACTTGTTTGCTTTTGATATGTACTTATTTTGCATGCTTCACATTATATGTTTCAAAATGCAGCTGGCTGTGTTGGCTGGGTAAGTCCGTACTTCAAAGATTTCTGATAAAGTGAGTCATGCCAAATGAGTCAACAGTCTGATCTTATAACAAATAATAAATGAAACTGTTAATCAAGCAGAAAACTGGAAGGTGTGCAGACTGGATTAGTAAAGGAATAATGACTAGACTTTATTTTAATATTGCTCACAACCTTTGGTAAAGTGGCCAGATATGAATTTTAATTTTTACTAAATGTGAATTTTATGATTATCTAAAGTCTAGAAGAATGAAAGGTGGTCTCACGAAAGCTCACAAAAATCTTACAAAGCTCCATGGGGTTAATGCAAGATATTTCACCTCGCTGGAAAGTCGGGACGGATGGTAGTAGAGATCTAGAACTGAGAGACAGAATCAGAATAAGAGAAAAGTAATTTCGAGTTGAGATGAGGAGCAATATTTTCATTCAAAAATGGGGAATCTCTGGAAATCTCTACCCCAGAGAACTACAGGGGCTCCATCATTGAGTATGTTCAAGAGGAAGATTTTCAGATATTAATGATATTAAGGATATGGGGATAACGTGGGAGGCTGCCTCACAGCACCAAGGACCCAGGTTTGACAGCAGCCTTGGGTCTAGTTTGTGTGGAGTTTGCATGTTCTCCCCATGTCTGTGGGTTTCCTCCAGGTGCTCCTGTTTCCTCCCACAGTCCAAAGATGTGCAGGTTATGTGGATTGGCCATGCTAAATTTTCCTGTAGTCTCCATGCGGGTGCAGCTAGGTGGATTAGCTGTGGTAAATGTAGGGTTACAGTAAATGTAGAGTTACAGGAATAGGGTGGGCAGAGTTTGAATGGGATGCTTTTTGGAGGGTGGTGAACTTGATGGGCCAAATGTCTTCTTCTGCACTGTAGGGATTCCATGACTTAGTTGAATGTTGGAGCAGGCTTGAAGGCCTGTAGAGCCTATTTCTACTCCTACTTCCCATGCTGCGATGTACCTTTTCTGATTTTGGCACTCCATTTGATGAAATAATAGTTCAAGCTGTTAATTACTATTGCTGCTAATTTGAGGAAGTAACTACAACTTTAAAAATATGACGTTTGAGGACGTAAATGTTCATATGGTAATCATCCGTTTTAACAGGGCTGCATAAACTTGCACAAAATGAACCACAAATACTCCCTTTAACATATTTGAACTATACATGTTATACAAGTGCTTTCAATACACATAGATGTACACTACAGTTCTGGCCTTATGTTTTAGACGGAGGACAGTCTAAAGATACAGTGCAAAGATAAATATCAGTAAGCACTAGTGAGTAGAACTGGACTGAGCTGTAGAAATATAGGCTAAATGAGGCAAAGAGGGAGAAAAAAAGGGTAGAAATTTATTAGCCTGCTTGCTGTGTGACTCAATACCACCCATAATTACAGCATTTTCTTTTTACAGGAGACGTGCAAACAACCCCTTTAAATGCACTGGCTTGATTGACAGTAGAACCAGCCAAACACCTGAGACGTTTACTCCTCAGGTGGAAGGTGCTGGGTGAGGCGAGGGAGGAGTATTGAAAGTCTGGAGAAAGCGGGCGAACAAGTAGATTCAATCAGCGTGCAGTTACAGACTGGTTCCAGCTACCAGCGGGGAAGCGAAAACTATAACATGAACATGGCTTATGTGAAGACAGTAACAGCCGGGGAATGTTTTAGCAATCAGTGTAATTCCACATTGGCTCTGCCGCCGGCCCACAAGCTGAGCACTTTGGCCCGAATGGACAGTGAGAAGAGAGTCGGCAGCCAAGTGCGGATGATGATGGAGAATAAACGAAATCAGCAAAAGTCTGTTAAAAAAGGTACAGGATACTCACCTTTCCTCCCGCTCACTTTGACACAACATCTCTGTTTTCTGTAGAAGTTGAAGAAACAATTCAGAATTATTGTTCAGAATTCTTGCGTTTATCACAGTCTTACATCTTGTAATTATGGTCGTAGCGATTAATCTTCAGTATTTCTTTATTAACGGTGCCGCATTGACTTTAACATCATTGACTCAATGCATTACGACATAAACTCATTACTCCATTAAAATGGCATAAATGTACTTAACAACGATGATAGTACATTGTTTTCCCAAGTATACACGTGCTTTGTTCCAGATCAAAAAAGGAAAACATTTTTATGATGAACATTTTCCCTTGATATGTGTTTATTTTGTCTCTTAATTAAATTTTGGCATATTGAGAAGTTCACTACATCTATGGAAGTTTCGTTGAGCTAAATATTTTTGGAACCATAATTTCCGGGGTTCAGCGCACACAGTTGAGACAAAATGACACGCCTTTTTGATTTTTATCACAGTTTAATAAAATTGTGTATGTGTGCATTATGCAGTATCACCGTTGATTCATTATAATTGCTTTGGTTCTTACCTTAATTTAGCCAAAAGAAAGTGCAGTGCAATCATTACATCAGCATCTGATGTATTAATTATTCTACAGTTCTGGTGTGGGGAATGCTGCTAGAATTGACAACTTTGGTGATGTTTTAAGTGATGGAACGCTCAATGTAAAATGGCAGCATGAGTTCTTTTTTAAATTGCTTTATAATGTTCTGCTTGTTTAGAATTGTCAAATGGTCAGTGGAACATGAACCAAAGAGAGATTTTTGATGTTGGAAATTCATTTCGAAGTATGGCCGTCAAGAGTCAAGGAACGCAGCGGCGTAAGGTAATTTTAAAAACAAATTTCTTTGATATGTGATGGGCAGCAGATCAGCTTTTGAATCCTTCAGGAGATGTAGAATATTCCATTGCAATTCACTTGTCAGGTTTTGCAATGTAGTCTAATGCAGCCCATGTATGTTTTTCAGATAAGGAGATAATTAACCATTTAAAAAACTTTAACTTCCAACAATGTTGCTAAAAATGTAATAAGAATGGGAATAAGATATAATTATTCTTGACAATAGATTTTCATTTGTGCTGTGCATTAAAATTCAGTGCGACAATATTTGATATGGAATCTAATTCCAAAATCATTCAGATTAATTTCATCCAGTTTAATAATGCAAATTATTAGTCCAAACAGTGTAAAATGCAGAACTAATGAGACAGTAATGAAAATACCTGAAAAACAATGTTGTATGATTTCATGAGGTGTGGCACACTTCCCTGTGCCAAAAAATATAATGATGGATCTTCTTAAGCAACTGCAAATCTTGTGATGGTTCTGGGAAAATCATTTAAAATTTCCCAGTAACTTGTCAAACATTACTGAGATAACAAGGTGTAGAGCTGGATGAACACAGCAGGCCAAGCAGCATCAGAATTTCTGAAGAAG